CCCCCCCCCTCCAGGGGCTGAGCTTGCTCAACCGCAGCTCCTGGGGAGGAGGAAGAGCAAGGAGGGCCAGGGGAGGAAGACACCCCGAGATAAACCCGGGGAGGGGGGAGCAGAGTGGGGACCCCCCCCGCAGCCATCCTGGCCCCCTGGCACCCACCCTGGCGCCCAGGCGTAGCTGGTCGATGGTGTTTTCCGCCTCAGCGTACTTTGTCAGCAGCTTGTGGTAGTCATCCTGCGGGGAGGGGACACGCAGTGGGTGACAGCACCCGGCGTGGGGAGGGGGGCTCGGAGGGTGCCCGAGGGGTGGGTGGCACAGAGGAAGGCATCCCTGTGTGGGCACGGGGAGTTCCATGGGTGGGGGACATGCAGAAACCCACCCCCCAAAGCGCCTGGCCCGTCTGGTGCAGATGTGGCCCCCATCTCTCGGTGTGGGGGAGACCCTCCCTCTCCTCCCAGGGGACAGGAGGGCACCCCAGGGGACGATGAGCATGGCTGGGGGGGCACACAAGCATCCTGGGGGGCACACGAGTATCCCTGCCTCCAGCCCCAAGTGCTGCCCACACCCCTGCTCTTCCCTCTGCGCCAGCCCCCACACAGGACCAGGGAGAGGTGACCAGCACCCGTCAGTGACACAGGGCCGGCTCATGGGGCTGGTGACATCTCCATTTCACCCCCACCCTGGAGACCCTCCCAGTAAGGCCCCTCTGGTTGAACTGGGAGAGCTGGACGTTACCTGGAGCTGCTGCACCAGCTGGGTGGCTTGCCTGGGGGACCTGAACTCCTGCGGCAGCCCAGCAGTGGTGGGGGGCTGTGGGGGGACCCCCTCCCCGCTGCTCAGCAGCACCTCCCGGACGATTTCAGCCGGGGACTTGAAGCCGATGGGGCCACCCAGGGCACTGGGGCGGGCAGGCAGGGCTCGGCTCCGTGGTGGCTGGTAGCTCTGGTCAAACTTCACCCGCGCCTCCACCTTGGAGAGGTCGGGCAGGGGGTGGTTGAGCCGCCCGCGGCCGTACTGGGTGCTGTCGGCCGCGCTGGTGCCCGTTCCCGAGGGAGCCGTCACCTCCTTGACCCCTTTGTGCCGCTGCCGGGGGCTCAGGGACCGCGACTGCCGGCCGCGTTTGGGGGGCAGCACCACGGGCACCCCTCTCTTGGGCACCCTGTTGTGCAGCTGGGGTGCAGGGGGGGTCCCAGCACCCCAGGGCTCCCTGGTGGGTGCCAGGCCAGCGGTGCCAGGCTCAGGCGGCCCCATCCCAGCCAGCTGGGCTGTGGGGATGGGCTCGACGCTGGTGGCATCGCGGAGGTCGCCAGTGAGAGGGGCAGCAGGAGGCTCTGGCTCGGGGTCCAGCCCTGCCCGTGCCCCTCGCCGGTGTTCCTGGCTGTGCTCCAGCCCCGGCGCCGGCAGGATGGGGTGGTGGGGCCAGGGCTGGTGTCCGACAGCCCTGAGATGTCAGCACCATCCGTGCTGCAGCCGTGGGGCTGGCAGAGAGCCTGGCTGTCCCCCAACGCCTCGGGGCTGGAGCCCGAGCCCCACTGGCCCTCGTAAGAGAGCTCAGGGTAGGGCTCCCCATCGCTCTCTGCCTCCCAGGGCCCCTCATCCCCCCCAGAGCTGCCCCGCTCCTCATCATCCTCCTCCAGTTCCCGCGGCAGGTGCCAGCGACCCTCGTCCGCTGCAGACCCCTCCTCCGCGTCCTCGCCATCGCCTGCAAAACACCATCACCACGGGGCTGCTGCCATCCCCCGGCCCCTCACAGCCCCCCCAGCTCCAGGGACACCCGGGACCCCCCATGAGGGGTTTTGGGCAGCAGGGAGGTGACAACTCACCCCATGGTGGGCTCACGGCATCTTCCCCCAGACCGATGACCCCATCCTCATCCATCTGCCTTTTAAAGTCGTCTTCCTCCTCCTCCTCCTCCTCCTCCTCTCCCTCCCAGCGCGTCAGCTCTGTTTGTGTCAAGCGCAGCCATGGTGCTGGGCTGGCCATGGCCCGCGGGCACGGCATGCCCGTCACTTGTGCCGCTTCATGGCCCAGTGGCGGCAGGCTGGGGACCTCCTTGTCACAAATGTAGGTCACACCATCGCTGTTGCGTCCTGGCAGGGGCAAGGGAGACGGGGGGGGATGCTCAGTGGGACACAGTGGGCTCTGTTCAAGGTGCCCCCCCTCACTGCTGGGGCTTCCCCTGTCCCCCACACCCTGTGGGCAAGAGCAGGCCCCCATGATGTGGAGGGACATTCTCAGGCCAGCTCCCCCCACCCTGCATCCCACTGTGAAGCCAGAGCTGCCACATCTCCCATGGCCACGATGGTCCCCAGGGGTCCCCGTGGCAAAGGAGCCCCCCAGGGCCACCCCAAAAGGCTTTTCCCCCACCAGCATGGGCACTGGGGGACACCCAGCACATGCTGTCAACCTCTGGATGTCACCCCACCCAGGCAGTCACAGCCTGGGGACTGTCAGTGGTGCCATCATGGTGCAGGGCGGTGCTGGGGGAGGCAGGAGCACCCCGAGGCCCCTACAGCTCTGGGGAGCTGACAGCGAAAGGGATCACAGCAGAGGCCCAGCACGCTCACTCCACTGATAACCTAAACACAGAGCTCACCCGCACCCCCTCCCCTTGCTGTGCTGGGGTTCCCAGAGCCACAGCGGCAGCTCAAGAGGTGCCGGATGCTGAACACCCAGCCATGAGGCCGGTAGCAGGAAAGGCCATGGGGTTTTCCCGGCAACGTCCCCTCAGCTAGATTTGAGCCCTCCACCACCCAGTTTTGGCCGTGGGGTGCTGGAGGCAGCAGCTGCCCACGTGCTGGTGGCTGGTACTAAGCAGCGTGTCAACATCACCCACGGCCACCCCGCAGCAACCCCAACCCAACACGGAGCGTGGAGGAGCCACCGGCCCCATAGGGGGTACACTCACCCCGTACCAGCATCCCTGGGATGTCCCCATCACCATGACCCCACTGGGGGTCCCCAAAGCAGCATCCTTCCGAGCACCCCAAAACCTTCCTGAGCCTGCAGGGCAGCTGGGCTTTCAGAAGTAGGAAATGATGCTCGGGTGTTTCCTGCAAGTTTGCAGGCAGCCGCAAATCTTTTAACTCCATCAGGCCCTGCGCAGCAGCAGCCGAACCCTCCTCCTGTGCTGCTTTTCATCAAAGCCTTTATTTTTAAATTCAGTTTGGAGCAAAATGCTGAAACAAATTGGGGGGGGG